TGGTGAGATTTTCGGACAATGGGAGATCTTTAGAAACAGTTACCTTAGGGTCATGTAAAATGTGCTGTGCAAATATCCATCTAATTCATTTTTTTCAAATTTATTAACAGAGTTTTAAAATAATTATTTTAATTGTTAAAATTGTTTTTTATATTCTTCTCCTTTTAATTTTCATTAATGCTCTTTTTTTTTCCTTCTGTTTCTCCACATGGATTTAGATTCACCATTTTTTAATTGCATCTACACTGATGTTTTATCCTTTTCATTTCTTTGCTGAGCTTTAGGATATATTCAAATTAAGAGATATAATTTAAAATATGGACCTATTAATATTGTAAGTATAATAGCAAACACAGGCTATATGATATGATAGAAAGGCATATGGACCCAGCTATTTCAAAAGTGGGGGTAGGGTGAGAAAAACTCTGAGGAAGAGAAAATAAGCTTCAATTCAGCCCAAATATTAGTTTCAAGCCAAAGAAGTTGGCTTAGCCCCAATTCCGTCCTTGGATGGACTACAATATACGATTGGTGTATTTTCAGGAAAAAAAAAATCTACCCATAAGATAAGAATCTAAGCCTCTATTTTCCATCCCAATGACAATCAGAACTCATTCTTCGCATTTATTTTTCAACTTTGTATTTGCCTGTGAACAAAATTGAAGCTGGCGAAAGATGGTTCATGTGAATTACTTGGACAACAGCTTCTCATTGTATTCAGTTGCATTGAGCCTGCTTTTTGTGAAATTGTGCCTTAGCCGAGGAACAGTGGAAGATATTGTCATTTTTTTTGTCCATGCCCATGGAGTTAACCCACTTCTCTCCCACATAAATGAATTGATGGTCTTTTCCAGAGTGGGGGAGAAAAGCTCTCCAAATCCTAATCACAGCTTGTTAATATTTTAGGGATCAAAAGCCAATTTATCATCCCTTGTCTCCCAATCTTCTTTATGCTTCCCTAGATCAGATTTCCAGAGTACGTGGCTTCTCAATGTTCAGAATACCTCTAGTAGCCAACAAAGTAAGGGATTGTGGAGCCATAGCCTTAGCTAGCAATATTTCCATCTAACGCAGAAAAGTCACCCAGCCCAGAATAATCGAGAGGCAAAAATAATCACAAGGGCTTGACATTTATTTATAATAACCAGCCATTCCTACATTCACCCTCCACCGCTAGGGGGATAGATGAATGAAAAAGCCTCCAGCCTGGAAGTGGTGGTTACAGCATTTCTCAATTTAAGGTCACCCAGGTGAGGTGTTCGGTGTGGTTTAAGCTCTGCTTATCACATGATGGTCAGCCATCCATTTTGGAGGCTGGTTGGAGGGAGGCCTAAATCGTTTCTTAATCCCTTTCCTCCTCTGTCATCCCACGAGTTTGGGGCAGAAAAATAGGTTTCCGTTCCTGCCACTTGCTAGCTGTGAGCTCCAAAAATCCACTTG